ACTGAGAAAATATATAATACAATTTATTTCACGGTATTGCAACAAATAAACGTTGAATCAATATTTAATTCGTATAAAAACAATTATTTAACGTAATAATTTTACCTTCACTATGGCTATTTTTAATCTACGACCACAGGTCAACCTGATATCTAATCCTTACGAACTTTAAATTCAGTCGAAACTGAGAAAATATATAATACAATTTATTTCACGGTATTGCAACAAATAAACGTTGAATCAATATTTAATTCGTATAAAAACAATTATTTAACGTAATAATTTTACCTTCACTACGGCTATTTTTAATCTACGACCACAGGTCAACCTGATATCTAATCCTTACGAACTTTAAATTCAGTCGAAACTGAGAAAATATATAATACAATTTATTTCACGGTATTGCAACAAACAAACGTTGAATAGATTCTTAATTCGTATAGAAACATTTATTTAAAATAATAATTTCACCTTCACTATGGCTATTTTAAATTTACGACCAAGGGTCAACCTGATTTTTAATCCTCCGAACTTGATTTCACAACGAGAAAGTAATAAGATCGTTGAAACGTACTTATTTGTCAAAGAAACTTGCAAAAATGTATAAATAATAATATGTAATGTTTTAACAAATTTTTGGAAGTATAAATTAATAATAAAATTGTGAAAATTAATAAATTATACGTTATTATAACATTAATAGAATTATGACTAAACCGAAGTTCGAAGTCGAGTATTTAAAGTCTGATATTACGTGCCTAGCGAGTGCCGGTAATTGTTAAAATTTGTTTAATAATTAGTAATAGAAATTCTAATTGATTCTAATGTATACAAGTGTTACAAGAAGGCTGAGTGTGTACAGGGTGGACATAGACTAGCTAGTAGCCCCCGACCACTCTATTCACATCTCAGAACCTTCAGGTCAAAATACGCCGCGAAGTGTCTAGGGCCCAGTATAAAGGGTAAATGATTTCGCGGGACATCGGCGGGTCCTTATATACCTGCGGTACCCTCTCCCCAAAGTCATTAGCAAAATCGTCGGTTAGGTCAGGCGGGAAACCTTCTTTTCGCGGGAAACGGACTACTTTTCGCGGGAGATCGATCACTTTTCGCGGGAAATCGACAATTTCTCGCGGGAATCGGTCACTTTTCGCGGGAAATCCTTCGTTTTTCGCAGAAAATCGCCGATTCTTTCGTAATTCTATTTCGCATTCTATTGTAATGTTATAATAACGTATAATTTATTAATTCTCACAATTTTTTGGTATAAATTTATACTTCTAACAATTTGTTATAACATTGCATATAACAATTTATACGTTTTTACAATATTCTTCAATAGAAACATAGGTTTCAGCGTTCTCGTTACTTACTCGTGGTTAAATTAATTTCGTAGGGATTAAAAATCAGGTTGACCTGTGGTCGTAGATTAAAAATAACCATAGTACAGCTAAATTTATCGTGTTAAATAATTATTTTTACACGAATCAAAAATGTATTCAACGTTTGCTTGTTACAATACCATGAAATAAATTATTTGTGCAGTTCTGTGCATTTTCTGTGCAGTTCAAGAAATGAATTATATTACACATTTTCTCTATTCACACTGAATTTAAAGATTATAACGATTAAA